TTTGTACAAACATGCTTTTTAAATTGTTTATTAACATTGCGAATGTAATTCGTTTTTGAGAATATAATTATATTAATTTTTCTCGTGGTGTTATTTTTTTTTTTTTTACTTAGCACAACTAAGGTGACATTGTGGTACTTTTTTTGAACCTGTATAAATTCAATTTATTCATTAATTAATGAGAGTATATTTAAGTCCAAGGCTGAATACGTTGGACAAACAGTCTTTTGATTCTAGTTTTTATTAGGAACAAACTGCTCTCCGTCTGGTTTGCTTCCTTCTGTAGCAGTCTTACAACACTCACGGAATGATAAATATAGGAATGGGGGAGGGGGATATTCTTACACTACCACTACACGGTCTGCCTATAATCAGAGACTGACGTAGGGGCTAGGCGGGGCAGTGCCACGGGGCCCCTTGGCCTCCAAGAACGATTTTCAAAAAATTATGTACTATCCTACTATCCTAGTTGTATAAAGAATTTTCGAGTTTTAACTTTTTGGCCCCTGACCGCGAACGGCTCGAACTGAAATCACACAAATTACTCCCACTTCCAGAACATAAATAGAACATTGTTAAAGATAATTGTCTACGTCTTGTTTATATAGAAGAGTGCGACAAACGAGCATGCGGCTCACCTGATGGCAAGTGTCGATCACCGCCTATACAACACCAGGGGAATTGCAGGCGCGTCGCTAGCTTTTTAAAAAGGAGTAAGCTCGTTTCTTGAATCGCCCTAAGTCGTATCGGTCCGACAGTAATGGATTGCCAAACATCCCGATGATGTGGATTTGTGAAATGCGTTGATAAAATTTTATGGCTGGAATTAATCCGAACAATTCCTCTGAACACTCCCCGTGGTAAATGCGATAGAAAATGCAAAGGGATGCAACATCTCTTCGTCTCGTCTTTCGCCTTTGTCAGTCGTCGACGATTCAAGTCGCTCTCAGTCTCAGTCTCAGTCGAGCTGGATGCGGTCAAGTGGAAGGACTTGGTACTAGGAGTTACGACAAAGGGATTCTTTTTAGTAGTAAACGCGCAATAACTTGTGTCTTCTGGACATTGAACTTAGATTTAGTCGCCCCAATCCGAGACCTTATCTGGCAAAAACTCGACTTCAGACACTAGTTTGTTCCGGTACTCGGCGACGTTTTCCCGAGAAATATAAGTACAGCCGAAACATAAAGCATCACCAGTGCTCGTCACTGGTTTGCAACATATTATTAATAAGCAGAAGAAACAGTTTTTTTGTTCTTTTTTTAAAACGTTACACACTAGGAGTTTCTCCTGTAACGCAGAGGCAGTTTACAAACACAAATTGCACAAGGACAAACATCCAGACCCGGAACAATTATTTGTAGGTCATACATATACTTGTTCCGTGCGGGATTCGAACCCGCGGCCCTCAGCGCAGCAACTCATTGCTAAGCCACTGCGCCACGGAGCAGTGTAGGTGATAGCACGTAGCCTTGTGGAAGACCAGCATAAATAGGCTTGTAAATGGAGTATGCACCTTCTACTACAACTTTGTTGTTCCAATCTGCAAGAAAACTGCTGATCCAGTGGTACAAATTCTCGGGAAGCCCATCGGAAGAGAGATGGAAAGAAGCGCTTTGTGCCAAACTCGGTCGAAGGCCTTCGCTATGTTCAAACGGTCAGGGTCTCTCTCTCTCTATCGATCTCTCTCTCTTTCTATCTCTCGATTTATGAGTCAGGTAAGCCAGAAGATCACCAGTGGAGCAACCCCGACGGAAATCGTACTGGCGGTCACTTTTCAGTTGGTGATCCTCAACCTCATGAACTGACAGTTCACAATGGTTTTCATTATTTTGGAGAATAAGTTGGATAGGTCTGAATGATCGATTTTCGGTTATGTTTTAGGGATCTGGTGCACTAAAGCTTCTTCTCTTTCTCTTCTTCTTCTTTAAGTTCGGGACTACGTCTAGGGCGAAAGTTTTAGAAAAGACACTTTACGACCGGTGCCAACTAGGGAGCACACGTCTTCAGCACAATGGGAGGAACTCCATCAGGTCCATTCGAGTTGACGTCTAGACAGTAGTGCTAGTGCTATGCGCACCGAGCGCTGTGTAAACCGTTATATACCTTTTTTTTTTTTTTTTTATAGGAGAGGGGGCAAACGAGCATGCGGCTCACCTGATGGTAAGTGACTACCGCCGCCCATGAACAACCGCAACACCAGGGGAATTGCAGATGCGTTGCCGGCCTTTTAAAAAGGAGTAGGCTCTTTTCTTGAAGGTCCCTAAGTCGTATCGGTCCGGAAAAATCCCTGGTGGTAAACTATTCCACAAGGAAGTTGTGCGAGGAAGAAAACATCTTCTAAATCGCACAGTGGTGGACCGCCAATCATCGAGATGGTGTGGATGGTATCGGGAGTTTTGCCGCGATGTGCGTTCGTGAAATTTGGCGGCTGGGATTAATCCGAACAATTCCTCAGAGCACTCCCCATGGTAGATGCGAAAGAAAATGCAAAGAGATGCAACATCTCTTCGCAGTGCCAATGAATCGAGCCGATCGGAAAGGGCTCGGTCGTCGACGATTCGAGCCGCTCTGCGCTGGATGCGGTCAAGTGGAAGGAGCTGGCACTGGGGAGCCCCTGCCCAGAGATGGGAACAGTATTCCATGTGAGGCCGAACCTGCGCCTTGTAAAGTTGCAGGCGGTGTGCCGGCATGAAATACTGTCCCGCTCTGCTGAGCACGCCAAGCTTTTTAGAGGCCAATTTAGCCTTCTCTTCCAAGTGACCACGAAACTGTACGTCACTCGATATGTCGACTCCGAGGATACCGATACTGGCTGAGGCAAGAAGGGGAGTGCCTTGAAACTGAGGAGATACGACAAAGGGGTTCTTTTTAGCGGTAAACGAGCAAACTTGTGTCTTCTGAGGATTATACCTATACTTGATTATGAGGATTATACCTATACTTGATTATGAGGATTATACCTATACTTGATTATACCTACCTGAAGGCGAAATTATACTTCTTTTTAAAAGTGCTGGTGAAGCGCTCCTATTATAGCACGATGGAATTTTACAGGAGCGACCATACCAGGCATAACAGATGATAGAATAAAGAGTTCCATCCCCTGAAGTACCACACCAGCGACAGAATCACGTTGGGACCATCCGGCGGGAAGCATACCCACCCCTGTCCTCAAAGGAAGGATGCATAAAAAGACCGCATCCTGTCCTAAGCGGCCAGACTATAGTGCCAAACACGGCGGCGATCTGCAGAACGCTACCGAGATGGGAGTGTGAGTGGCACCATAGACCGGATGTAAAGAAGAGGGCGAAGGGCGTCGACGGAGACCTGATATCCGTCCGGATGAGAGGTCAGCAGAAGGTCCTACAGTAAAGGTGCACGAACCTCCACATCCTGCGCCCCTTTTCCCAAAAGAGGGTCGCTTCCGATTCGGCAGAAAGGCCTCATAAGCCAATGCCAGTTTAGTGGGTAGACACTTAGAGTGGTTAGGTTAGGTTAGTTCAGTGAGTCCCACATAACCACGACAGCCGGCTGTCGTGGTATGCTTAGAGCATTCACCATCTCGGTCTCGTTTACGGAGGTAACCCTTTTTAATTGCTTCTGGGCGCAAAAAAAAACATCCACATCTAGAATCCGCGTAGGTGAAGTGACCATGTCGGACCATATTCCAAGGCAAAGTCATAAACACATCTTCCCGCATGATCGGTTAAACGAGAAAAAGCCATTCAGCGTGGTGGCCGTTAAAATCGCCAAGGATCACGTTCTCTGCAGATGGGACCTGTTGTAGCACGGAGTCTGCAGCGAGGTACAAAGGTGTTATAATTTGTATGAAGGATAGTAGAGAAGTATCGAAGGGAAAGCATACATGTGTCTCGGTTAGAAAGAGAAAGGTAGGCTGCGCCGTTCACAGGTGGTACCTAGTGGACTTCGTTCGAATGAAATCCCCGGATGCTGCAGAAATTCACGGATAGCGTGGCAGGGGTCACCTTTGTCTTACTATCTACTTACCACAAGTAGTATTAGTCTTGAGCTGAACTCCCCCCCCCCCTCCCTCCCCCGTCTTCCCAGGATACGCAAGGCATCCTGAGCACCCACGCTAAGGAAAAGTAGGGTAGCTTGGACCTGGATGCTCAGCCAAGGATTCTAGAATACCAGGGCTGTTGGTACCCTCCTGGGAATGTTTCTTATTTCATTAGAGGACCATGTTAAGGGGAAGAGGGGATAGGCCTCCGACCACCTGCACTTAACAGGCGAAGTAAACTTCTACTTCACGCTGGTTATCTGTAAGGTCGTGGGTCTCCTTCGTTCGAGCCGGTCCACCCATTCATTACAGCTCTTTATTTCATGTCTTACCAGGTCGTCACTCCATCTAGTTCACCAGTGCGACAGCATAAGCTGCCGTGTGGTCCTTCCACTGTTATGTTGTCTGCCTATATAATTCGTCATTGTTTATGCGTTACACATAATACTTAGTAGTAAGTAGCTTTGCTTTATTATGCCCTGCAGTGGGCGACAAGAAGCTGATGATGAAGTAGTTTTGCACCTTTAAAGTATTTGGTTTAGTTTAAATAGGGCCTCAATTTCATTTTTGCCCCGGGCCCTTAGTTACATAGCTACGCCAATGCCTATAATATCTATAAATCAACTGTAATGTAATAATTGCATAAAAACAAAATCATTTTATAAAAATTGATGACTGACAAGTTATGTGTGAAGACAGTAAGTACCACGAATCATAGCGATTTGCTCAAAAATATATAAATTAATGTGACACATTATTTAAACGTGTTAAAAGACTGTGTAAAAGTTATATCAAACGAATTGTCTTATATATAAGTAAAACAATAAAGTAATGCTTCAAAGTATTTAATATTCAATGCACGTCATAATACAAAAATTAAATGCAAAACAAAAACTAAGCCGTCTGAGCAGGCTGGCGAAAGCAATTTTCATCAAACACACGATTATCATTTTATTACATTATGGTCTTCGGTCACGACTCAGTTCTCGACTGTGGTGTTCGGTACATAGGACAGCACCACGGTGGATTTTGGCGGCACGAGCACATCGTCGCTGTTCACCGCCGCATTGTTTGTGTAACTGAAACAAGATTAAGGATTATTAGCAATGTGGTAATAGTTTCCTTACATTTCTGAAAGCATGGACTGAATAATAAAATAGAACTTATATATTAAAAAAAAATCATCACTACTATTATGTATTAGGAAAACAAATGGGCCCACTTTGTAAAGAAATGAAATCCAATCGTAATAAATACCAAGCGAGCGAGGTCAGTGAATAGCTATTATGAAAGTAGTAACTACTATATCATAATTTGTATTAAATTTTAACTTAATTTTACATGCATTGTAGCTTATAAATAAATATATGTTTCGGTTTACATTTTTATATCGATAGCTAATCGATAATTTTTGCTTTGCTTTTCGCCTTTTTTAAATCGATTTAACATTGTTCCATCTCTAGACACGCCAAACTGTAAGCTGTCACCCGCAGCGTGCTATGACGCAAAGACTATAAATCGAATCCGGGTTGCTCACGTATTGTAAAATTTGCGGCGAGTACTTAGTTTAGTTTAGTTACCACGATTCTCATAAATCAATTATTAATTAATTATATTCCATATTAGTAACTTCAACAGCAATACTTACTTGGTATAAAGTTTCACGTTAAGTGAAACATGATGTATGGTTAATGAGCTGGGCACGGTGCTAAGCGAAGTGAGATTTGCACGTGCCTCCTCTAAATTGGGGTTGTACACGGCCGCGTAACCGGTGTGGCCTGATTTCCACCTGCGAATGTAAACAAATCATTTGAACCAATAAAAAGTGTAGTGCACTTAAATTATCTAGGCCTCAGTATATAACAAATCATCTAAAAGAAAGATGTGGCTGATATTGAAAGAGCTTAGGGCAAGGCAAACAAACAAACAAACAGTCCACCTGATGACAGGTTCCTTGTCTATGGGAGACATCTTAAATTAAATGCAGATGCGTTGTTACCCCTGAGAACTAACAGGGAATGCCTCATTTCCAGTGTAAAAAAAGGTCTCCAGTTCTCTACACTCACTATACGAAACACAGCATCATTAGGTTGCTATTTCACGCTGGTATTTTGTTAGAGCATGGTCCTACTCCAGTCGAGCCGTTTCATTTGTGATACAACCATGATATATGGCTGCTATGGCTGCAGATCTACTACGTATAAAGCCTTAATGGTGCTTTTAGGACATTATTTAGGTAAGGAATCAATTTTTTCATACCTTTTTACTATGTAAACAAACATTTAAACATTGCACTTTTTCATAATTCATTATATTTCCGTGGTAATACTACAATGACCAACCTGGCACAAGCAATGAGTTTGTTAGTGGAGTTTTGTGCTGGCACAGCCGCTATACTGTAGAGGCCATGCTCGATACTGGAGTCTTGCCGCATTGCGGCCATCTGACTGAAGTGGGAGCTCTGCAAATTAAAAAAAATTTTAGATTATTTGGAATGTCACCGGAATCTTTAACTAAAACTCGTAACTATATTTAACTTTAGCAAAGGTTTGGCAGGTCTCTTTATTCCACCCTATAAATAAAGGTCTAATGGTATGGGTCCAGTGACCTTGCAGGCCATGATATAGGGCCACCACGCCCAATCCACCCATCTTCATATTCGCTATTGAAATAATCACGCACTGCACTTGAATAGTGAGGCGGAGCACCGACGTGTTGGAAATAAAAAATAATTCAGTAACACTAGGGGTATATCGTCTAGAAAATCTTGAATACAACCTTGTAACAAGTCCAAATAATTACCACCCATTAATCGTCTTCAAATGAAGAACGGGCCCATAATTATGTTATCAAAAAAATCCCAGTTGATGATAACTATGGTTTGCATACAGTAATGTTCGTTACGACTATTATAAAGCCCTACACGCGTAAATAGAGCTCTGTCCGTCCACATAATATTAGTATTATCAATGTTTGACATCAATCATTCACAATTTTTTTTCGAGATGGACAATCGTTATTATTCAGTCCTTGCACACATTGGTAATGAAATGAGTTATATCTAGAAGTTATATCTTGCCGTGTAGTGGCGATCAAGAATACCACTACCCCATATCCTCCCGTGGGTGTCGTAAAAGGCGACAAAGGGAAACAGGCAGGAGATGGGCAGCAGCATCTTCCTGATAATAGCCAAAATTACAATAAAAAAACTGCGGTTGCCAACCCGCTCGCCAAGCGTGGCAACTATGGCAAATACCCTGCTATGAATGTAACAAAGAGACGGCCCCCAGTCCCCGGCGGCCCCGCTAATCCTGGCTACGGTGGCGACCATGGTAACGGCGGGGCAGGGGGTGCTAAGAATCTCCGGTGGAGGTTCGGTTGCCACCTTAGACGACTCGACCTGGCAACGTACAACGCACGCACCCTGAGGACTGACGAGAAGATCGTGGAGCTGGAAGAAGAGATAGACAAGTTGCGCTGGCATATTATAGGATTATCCGAAGTCCGAAGAGAGGGGGAGGACACGGTAATCCTCGAATCCGGCAACTTGCTCTATCACCGGGAGGGCGACCATCTGTCCCAAGGAGGTGTCGGATTTATCGTCCACAAGTCTCTCGTTAACAACGTTGTAAAGATCGGGAGTGTGTCGACGAGGGTTGCGTACCTTATACTCAGAATCACCAAACGGTATTCGCTGAAGGTCATACAGGTTTACGCACCAACCTCGGCACACCCCGATCAGGAGGTGGAGGAAATGTATGAGGATATCTCTAGAGCCATGCATTCCTCCAAAGCCCACTATACGGTGTTAATGGGAGACTTCAACGCAAAACTAGGCACAAGAGAGAACGGTGAGCTGAAAGTAGGGAAATTTGGAATAGGGCAACGGAACCCAAGGGGCCAGCAGCTGGCCGACTTCATGGAGAAAGAGGGACTCTTTATGATGAACTCTTTCTTCCAGAAGCGGCCCCACAGGAAGTGGACCTGGTCGAGCCCCGACGGTTCGACAAAAAATGAGATTGACTTCATTATGACGACCAGACGACAACTGTTCAGTGATGTCTCCGTGATCGCGAGGGTGAAAACTGGTAGCGATCACCGAATGGTTAGAGGCACACTGAACCTAAACGTTAAGTTGGAGAGGTCTCGTCTAATGAAGTCAACGCTCCGTCCCCCTCGTGCTCTGTTCCAAAGTCCCGAAACCTTTCAGCTCGAGTTACAAAACCGTTTTCAGTGCCTAGAAGACTGCAATGAAGTGGACGATATGAATGACAAGCTCGTGGAAACTGTCCATGCGGTCGGAGCTAAGTTCTGCAAGACCCGCCGCAGAAGAACACAAAAACTCTCCGATCACACTCTTAATCTCATGGCTGTTAGACGGGAGATGAAGCTACATTCTTCAACAGACTTGACAGCATACAGGCATCTGAACAGACAGATCTCCAAATGCATGCGGCGGGACTTACGCAACTTCAATACAGCTCGTATTGAAGAAGCGATCGAGCGGAACCAAGGCTCCAAAGTCTTTGCCAGAGATCTGTCTGCCAGAAAGAGCCACCTGTCAAAGCTGAAGACAGAATGTGGCAGCATCGTTTCCGGGACACCTGAGATTTTGAGTGAGATTGAGAGGTTCTATGGGCAGCTGTACACGTCATCGTTGGAGCCACACGCAAGTGTGAGTAACGATCCAAGAGCGAGTCTCATCCGACACTATTCCGAAGATATCCCGGACGTCAGTCTGAGCGAGATTAGAATGGCTCTCCAGCACTTTAAAAATGGTAAGGCCCCAGGCGAGGATGGAATTACAGCGGAGCTTCTGAAAGCGGGTGGAAGACCGGTACTTGAAGTCCTTCAGAAGCTCTTTAATTCCGTCCTCCATGGTGGCATTACACCGGAGGCGTGGAGCAGAAGTGCGGTGGTCTTGTTCTTCAAGAAAGGTGACAACGCTCTCTTGAAGAACTACAGACCCATTTCCCTTCTGAGCCGCGTCTACGTGCTGTTTTCGAGAGTCATTACGAATCGTCTCGCGCGCAGACTTGACGACTTCCAGCCTCCCGAACAAGCCGGTTTCCGAAAGGGCTTTAGCACCATAGACCACATACATACCCTTCGGCAAATTGTACAGAAGTCCGAAGAGTACAATTTGCCACTATGTCTGGCGTATGTGGACTATGAGAAAGCCTTTGATTCCGTCGAAATTTGGGCAGTGCTGCAGTCCCTTCAGCGGTGCCAAGTTGACTGTCGGTATATCGAAGTGTTGAAGTGCTTATACAGTAAGGCTACGATGGCTATCCGAGTACATAACCAGAGTACGAAACCTATCCAATTGCAGAGAGGTGTAAGACAGGGTGACGTCATATCCCCGAAACTCTTCACCACTGCATTGGAAGACGTTTTCAAGCTTCTGGACTGGAAAGGATACGGTATCAACATCAATGGCGAGTACATCACTCACCTTCGATTTGCCGACGATATAGTCCTTATGGCAGAATCGCTGGAGGACCTAAGCACTATGCTCAATGACCGCGATAGTGTTTCCCAACGGATAGGTCTTAAGATGAACATGGACAAAACAAAGATCATGTTCAATGTCCATGTCACACCTATGCCGGTAGTTGTTGGGAGCACTAAGCTCGAAGTTGTTGACGAGTATGTTTACCTGGGACAAATAGTCCGACTAGGTAAGTCCAACTTCGACCGAGAGGTCAATCGACGGATTCAACTCGGCTGGGCAGCGTTCGGGAAGCTACGACACATCTTCTCGTCAGACATACCTCAAAACCTGAAAACGAAATTGTACAACCAGTGCGTGTTGCCAGTGATGACTTATGGAACTGAGACGTGGTCCTTCACTGCTGGCCGTATGAGGAAGCTCAAGGTCGCTCAGCGAGCTATGGAGAGGGCTATGCTCGGAGTTTCTCTGCGTGATAAACTTAGGAATGAGGATATCCGCAGTAGAACCAGAGTAACCGACATAGCCCAACGGATTAGTAAGCTGAAGTGGCAGTGGGCCGGCCATATAGCTCGAAGAACCGACAACCGATGGGGAAGAAAGGTTCTCGAGTGGCAGCCTCGTACCGGTAGGCGAAGTGTAGGGCGTCCCCCCACGAGATGGAGTGACGACCTGGTAAGACATGCAGGAAGTCGATGGATGCAGGTGGCTCAGGACCGTGCTTTGTGGCATTTTTTGGGGGAGGCCTATGTTCAGCAGTGGACTTGTGAAGGGCTGTAATGATTAATGATGATATCTAGAAGAATTCAGTAGTTTCCACACGTAATACTGGCTAACACTGAATTCTCGAAAGATGCAGTCATTGTTGCTAGCGCGGGGGTTTCGCTCGAAAAACTCGATCACTGTGCTTTCGACAGCCGGGCTTATTAATGAATGACCTCCTCGAGCACTTCCATGTGACAGAGTGGTAAACTGTCCAAAGTCTAACAGCATTTGGTTTGGTACACACTCCGATTGCTTGGTGCCCGCGCGTTGTTTCCTTGTCTTTGCAAACGGGGTAAAAACTCACTTCCCTATAATGTAAATGACAAGTAATACTAGCTACGAACATTTAAAAATAGGACACTCGGAACGTAATTAGGTCACGGTCAAGTCAACACTGTCGGTCGGCCAGGTGAACGTACCCAGCGCCCAGCTCTGTAACGGAAGGGAAAGGGCGGGGAGACGCGTTTGTCTTTACTGAGTCAAAACAACAGCTATTAGATACCTAAATCTGTAACCGAGCAAGAGCGCCGAACGTTTCCGAAGTCAATACTTCCTTACGAATGTGTGCGTGCGTGTAAAATAGTAGGCGCTTCATATTTATGAATGACCATTAATAAAAATAATGCATTTCATAAACATTTCCACACATTTTGAATATGAAGGATAAAATGTTTCAGTTTTTTTCTTGTTAATTTTTTTTGCACCATTCGCTTATATTACTTAGGGCGGATTCGACCAAACTAAGTATAAGTCTTATCCTGAGAATAAAACCACAGATTACTCTCGAGTTAGAGAACTTTCTTTTCACCAAATCTTAACCCAGGTATAACTGTCTATCCCAGAGTAAATTGCTATACCGCCAAAATTCATGGAGTAAATAAGTTATCCCAGAGTATTTTAATGGCGGCCGCTACATTTTAACAGCTGTTTTCGTATCCTTTGTTGAAAAAGTAGGATATTTTATCGTTGTGCATTTATAATTGCTTTTATTATTGTGATATTCGTAGGAATTATTTTTTAAAATAATGCAACGTTTACGAAATATGATCGAAGATTCCGCCAATTTTTGCTTCATCGTAACCCCCGCCTGGTTTTTTTTTATTTTCAATGACACGAAAATATTTTTCTACTAGTTCTAACATTCATTTTCGAAGGTAACCAATTTGGGCTAAGTTTCTTTTTCTGCAGACATTTTATTTCAGAAGATAAGAATATGATTAGAAGAATAATTAATTGACAACTCAACTGGTGTTAATATTCTAGTGTACAGTGTGACAGTTGATACTATTATAATCCGGCAAAACTAAGTGGGCAGAAAATCTTGCATTGCGCTATGTAAACAATTGTATTTGGATTTTAGTTGGCTTACATGTTCATTCATTTTTAATTCACCAATTCTAGAGTAACAATACCCAGTATTAGCTACTCTACGTTTGTGTTGGAAAAACGCAAAGGAAGTTATCTGAGAGTAAGAGCAAAGAGTAAAATTATTCTAGGGTTAGTTACTCTGGAGTAACATGGTATTTGGTCGAATCCACCCTTATTCTGAACCACCTCTGCAAATTTGGCTGGTTATTGCAAAATAATCCTGTATAATGTTGTTTGCTCTTCAGCGCAATGGCTAAGCGTTTGGCTGCGGTTTCCCGCACAGCAAAGTATTTGGCTACCGATAATTGTTCAGAATTAGACTATTTCATCATCATCATCATCATCAGGCTAAAGTGTTCACGTTGCAGGGAGGATTAGCATTAATCACTACTCTTGACAGGTCTTATTGTCGCCGGTCTGGGTATTTTAAGTCTGACGTAAACGAGAATGTTATATTAGAATCCACTAGACCTCTCTGGCATTTCTTACAGTCTCCATTTACGATACTCGAAACATAAAAATATAGTAAAAAAAATTGAACCAATTACATCAGTGGTGTTGTTGTCGACGCCGAGCTGGTTGATGTCCACCACGGGTGCAGCCGGCAGCAGCAGCGCCAGCGACGACAACTCCTCATTGGTCTCCTCTTCGTCTACCAGCTATTGGAGTAAATAAATCGTTTTAGAACTTCGGATGAACGGATAAAATGATTCACGTGAAATATCTAGATCAAATTACGCTTTGTTTAAAACATACATACATACATAAACACTCACGCCTGTTACCCAGAGGGATAGGCAGAGACTACGGACTTCCATTTGGCGCGATCCTGACACACCAATCTCGCTTCCTTTACATCCATATATCTATGCACACATTCTCGTCGGTTAAGGGTAATCCTAATCTGGCCCATTTTCAACATATCGACGATTTGGTCGATAAACGGTTCGTTTCGTCTAGGGCGACCCTTCCAGTCTTTGGGACAGGCCGTAAATTAAATGGAAATGCGGGAGATATTTAAAAAACAAGTTTTAACAGATATATATTGCTGTCGCGTTGTGCCCGAACAAACAACCTAGACAACCGACAGATAACAGCAGCAAAAGCAATTGACGAAATTATACCGTATTCCTTCCTTTAAAACTGAACCGATCTTTTTTTCAATATCAAAAGAAGGATTTTGAGTGATTGTTGAAGGCTGTCGTCTGTATTTTTCTCTCTACTTTTGTCCGTTAAATTTGTTTCCTGACTGTCAGATAACGGCAATATAACTGGGCAAGGTAATGGTAGCAGTAGATATGGATTGTATCGTATAAAATATTTGCTCTGGTGATATTATCTTGGTAGAAAACAGGAATACCTTATAAGAATTAAACGCCACCCGAATATTCTATTAAAACTTTTCAAAAGCAGGTTGACGATTATTTTCATTTTTTATTTTGATTTGGCACATCTCTGAAGTTGGTCAAATTTTTTGCACCCGTTGTTTGCTCTTGTGTACTCTTTCACTTTTTTGTGTAAGAGTACAAACATGCAGAGAGAGAAAGAAAATCGAAAATAAATTTAAATGATGTCATCGATAATTATGATCTCATTTTACGTTAACATAAATTTTTAATGAAGTTAATCTTAGACCAATAAAAAGAGATAAACGGAGCACTGCATATATTGCAAGTGGCACTGGAACCATATTCAACTTCCTAACACACACAATTTTCTTTTCTCTTTCTTTAAGAGTCCGTAGAAGTCCACTGTTGGAAGTAAAACCTACAACCATATTGTTGGTTGCAAATTAAAATGTGATATTGTAACTATCACATGTCATGCAAATAAACATTACACATGTATCTTTTCAAGCATAGCTATATAGAACCTCTCTTCCCTATTGCATTGAAATAAGCAGACATCTAAACTTAAATAAAAAGTGAGTTTCTAAGTGAGAAAAAATTGTGTATTCATTGAGGGTATAATAAGAAATAATAATAATACAGTTGTTTTATTAAGAAGTAATTTCTTTATAAATTTACTAAACTTATCTTCTTTTAGATTCATGTGTGCGTTAGTGTTCTTACAATACGTTGAGCATAGTTTTGGCTTAGCTTTGACGTCACTTGACATGTACTCAGCGCTCAGTGTATCTTTCTTTGTTGGTGGGAGTTGATATAAAAATATATTACCTGTATCGCAGGCCAATATGGCAGTAGGTTCCTAAGCCTGACGACCACTTCAGCCGCGTTGGAGACTTGTATGGGCGCGGCTGAGGGCGGCCGCAGGGAGGTTAAGTTGTGACGCAACAGGAATAGCTCAGGCCGGCGCTCTTCCGCTAACGTGAACACCGTCTCACCTGTTCAAACAAAAATACGTGACTATTTTTTCTATATGCAATATTCCCACATATTATAGCTTTTTTTCACATGTTTTACTATACGTGCTAGAACCATGTTACAGCTATATTATGGTCGTAGCACGAATGAATCGGCACGATTGGGGGATATACACGCTCTCACAGAATACCAGTGTACCATTACGAAAACATGAGCACCAGAATTAATAATCTACACGTTACTCGACCACATTCTTGACTTATGACATGTTTGACTTAACACGTAAATAGAGTTTCCTTTGTTTGTATTGAAGTAAATGGTTGAACTAATAACTAGTCGTTAGAATGTTATGTTTAACTATCAAGGATTTTTTAACCATCAAGGGTTGTTAAAAATTGTTTTATATAACTTATTTTCTTTGGAATGTTTTGTTTGACATATTAGCGCGTACGATAATATATGACATACATATTTTATACGAGGTCGAGCCATGTTGCCAGCTTATAGTTGCAGTACTAATAGGTCGACTCGATCGGGGAAGGACCTCTCATAGAACAACAACGTAAAATAGCAGCTCAAAGCTGCTGTGCTTCATATGGTGAGTGTAGAAAAGCGGAGACCCTTTTTACTCGAGACGAGGCATTTCATCTTAGTCCTCAGGAGTTACAACACATTCGCATTTTGATTCTTATTCGCGAATAGATATAGATATCTATGAGCCACAGCATCTACTTACCATCAGGTCGCCTGTGTGCTTACTTGTTACCGTTATTCTATAAAAAAAATATTTCCTGGTAGGATAATGTCGTTCGCAAGGTGTACTCAATATTCTAGTAACCATTTTAACAGTAGATCACTAATACAGAACTGATAGTACAAGTGTCAATTTGCTTACAGCACAGAACATACCTACTTTAGATGTTTACAGTCAGCCCTTTGTGGAGAGCCTGCATGGATCAAAAGGAAAGGGCTATCTACGTTCTACTTGATTGTCCAGCAGTTACCAGCTATAGAGCTATGCACCTCGGATTGCGTAGATCGCTCCTCGAGCGATCAATACAAATCAAAACTACTTATATCCTTCGGCTCAGTACACAGCAATGTAATGTGCAATGCTACAAAAATAGGTAAGAACACCACTTGTGTTAATCCTATAAAATACATTGTTGCTCAGCCATGCAGGTTTCCTCCCAATATTATCCTTTATCATGGAACATGTAGCAAATCAGCACACATATCAATTTCATTGATACCGGCAGGAATGAACCCGGGTTGTTCGCCTACCATTGCACTCGATTGGACTCTACCGACTGTAAATCACGTGAGTGAGAAAGGATGGTATCCAAGTACTAGTTACCTGCTCCGGTGGCAGGGGGGGTGTGGTCTACGAGGTGTGCCCAATGTGCCAGCAGAGGTTCCAAAGCAGGCAGGTCGCTGGTGTGCCGGTGCCTCCAGAACTTGTACTGCGAGTGTGTGGCTTCGCGAGCTATCCCGCTGCCCGCATCCGCAACCTCATCCGCTAAGGACGCGTTCACAACCAGCTGACGGGCCTTGTGAAGCCTGGGGACGTTTATTACAATTTAACATGGTTATACAGTAGAAACTTATAACAACTACTCAGTCAACTAGTCTGTCACTATATCCATAAGTAGCTATATCCATAGGTAGAAGGTGAGGAGGACAGAAAACTTGACTTCATGAAGAAAGTATAAAAATAATGTTTATTGTCAAATAATAGTTTTAACAGTCATACAGTACACCAGTAGATATTGCTTTCACCATTCTTAAGCCCCGAAATAATATCTACTTTTTCTTTAACTGTAAACATTCCTCTAACGGGTGCCCTGATGAACAAACAATCTAACATCCCAAAAACGAACTAATTTTAAACGTCACTGTTGCTGACCATCTGGGATTAGGAACAAGAGATAAGAAAGCTTAATGACTTTATAATTGAACCTTTGTGTATTTTTTGTTGACTCCTTCATTGAGATAAGATTTATGAATATCTGCCAGTTAACCTACCTTGGCAGATATTACACGATACATAGTGTCGTATTGTATATATATTTTCAACAGTACGTAAATTGTATTACATACTGTTGAATAAATGGTTTTATCATTATTAGTGTAGTATATTTGACCAATTTAACAGTACACCTAAGTTTAATCAAGTACAATCGGCTGTACATAGTTCGTGCCGGCTAAGCCGTAAAATATGCGACGGCTCCGTGGCGTAGTGGGTTAGCATAAGTTGCGACGCTGAGAGGGCCACGGCTTAGAATCCTACACGGAAAAGTTATTTGTAGGCCATACAAATACTAGATGTTTGTCCTTGTGCCATTTATGTATGTATACTGCCTCCGTGATACAAGGCTAATGTTTTTGAAAGAAAAAAGAAACCTTGGTCAATCTGTAGTTTTCCTAACACATGGGGTAACATTTTAACAAATGCTTGTGAAGTGCTATAATAGTGATGATGACAGAATTTTTTATATTTATATTTCCCACCTTTATTTTCTGGTATTACCAAAGTCGTCTCTTACAACACCCATTGTACAATATGGAATGTTAAATATTACCTCCACACTACACAGCACTATCAATCAGAACATGTTATTCAAACTTAAATATCAAAGATGTATATAGACTGTGACCAAATGAATAATATTCCCAATTTGAAAAATTTGTTTCCTGTACCTGATTCCATCAGCACCTGCTTCCATCCAGAGTTTGAGCACTTTGTCAAATTGCCTCACAACATCCGGGTTGGTGAAGTTGAGGTCAGGTTGGTCTTCACCGTACTGATGCAAATAGAACTCCTGTCGCTGCTCACTCCAAGACCATGCAGGGGTGTCCAGGGTTGATACCTAAAAATGTAATTTTGAAAGAACAAGACACAATAAAAACAATTTGTCATTTTGAAATTGTTGACTTTGTCTGGGCCTCGAACCCATGTTAGGCAGTAGTCAGGTGCTCTGATCACTAAAAGCCAACCATAAAATGAAACGAACTAACTTACCCAGTTGTTAGGCACTTGAGGCTTCCCGGCCTCATCGTAATCCCCGCCCTTTGCCCAGATGAAGTAGTTATCATATTCTGCAGAACGGTTTTCGCTCAGCGCAAACCAAGTGTGGCTTTTGGACACGAAGTTGGCCGTCAGGTCCACGATCACTCTGTAAGTAAAAAAAAGATAAAATATTCATAACATTAAAGTGCCAAACGAGTAAAGACTCAAATTTTGCCTTTTGCCTAAGTCGCCTCTTTCGACAATGGGATAAGATACTGTAATGGTTTATCCTATATCACAACCACAAGATACAATCCACTCTAAATCGGAAATGGTCTTTATTATGTTACACTCTAAAATGCTTTAAATACTTGAAAAAGAAATTAAAAAAAACAACTATACTTACTTGATGCTGTACTTCTTGGCCTTAGTGACGAAGTCTTTAAATTGTTGGAGACAGTCGGGAGTCTCCAGAACTTCGTACGTATCTTTACAGACGTAGGTGAAGATGCCCTCCACTTGAGAGTTTTGCAGAAGTGGCAGTTCGGATTCCAGGTTCTCAAAGTTATCCACGGAGGACATATCCACCAAGGGGCCCTTTTCATACCTACATAAGGACAAGTAAATTATTATTAAAAACTAAGAACCTGACTACAGTTATAATAATAATCTATTTGCCAGTTTGTGCAAATGCACTTCAACAAACTGTATTGCTTTTTCGGGGGGTCGCATTGGTATCATTACAATAAAACATATATTTTATTATTCTTACATATTGTTATTTAATTTATCTCATTTTTATGCTTATTTACTAATACGACATTGTTTTGGCAGAGCGAGACCTGCTACAAGTACTTATTTATTTACTAGAAGGTCCCCACATTGTTCTATAAATGTATGAATAAAATGAATTAAATGATTTTTAAAAACGTAATTTTTCTAGCTACAGACATGAAGACAAATTTAAATGACACTTTGCACTTTCATAAATACTAGCTGTGCCCGCGGTTTCACCCGCGTATTATTTAAAGAATTACTGATTGATTAATTGATTTATAGTACTTTAGTATAGACACTATTTTTGGTAACCTTTTCATTTGTTATTAAAATATATTGGTTATCACCACATCCTGTTCTAGATAAGCCAACATATAACTGCCCATGAGAAAAACAGCATTCACTTAAATGTATCCCTACGTGCTTGAAAGTCTGTCCCTGTGCTTTATTTATAGTGACTGCAAACAATACTTTTATGGGAAATTGTATTTTTTTAAAACTAAATGATAAATCTGTAGGTATAATAGGAATTCGAGGTATTAGTACCGTTTGCCCAACTGCTGGCCCAGTCAAAACTATAGCAACTATGATATTATTTCTAAGAAATTTAACTTGAAGCCTAGTTCCGTGACATAGACTTGGTGAACGCAGGTTTCGTAATAAAATATTGGGAGTGCCACTTTTTAAGTTCAATAAGTATGGGGGCAGCCATTCAAAGAATTTAAAAATTCTTGGGGTTAAAATACAGCGTCTTCTTGATCCATGACAGTATCAACAGCAAGGTAGTTTATGTTGTCACCTGGTAGTTTGCCATTATTTTATCGTTGATGCCCTTTCACACATCCATTGATAATTTGTTTGGTTTACATATATTAGCGACATCCAGTGATGGTTACGATTTCACCAAGGTCTTTATCAATGGATATTTTACCCAACGGGACATTTTCACGGATAGAACACACACTGTCTCGTTCAAGTGACACAATAAGGGGCAATTTAAAGGTAGAATGAGCCGTTCTCCCGCCTGCCAACAGTGTAGCAGCAATACCTGACGACGCACCGGCAATAGCAATTTTTCCCTGTGAACTAAGCGGTCGTTCGCGCTCCGAGCAGTGCTTACTATCTTAAATTTTCATTATTTCTTTAAACTATGCGTCCAAATAACATGCTATAAAAATAATAATAAGAGCAAAGTTTATCTTCATAAAATTGTCTTGATGATGGAGTAACTTTCGCTCGTAAGGATTAATATGCCATGCCTAATAATAACCCTCATAAATCACTTAAATTTTCAATCATTTTTTTGTCTCGAAATACCTCATTGTGGCTTATGTATAAGAAATAGGCATATGATATTATGGACATTTTTTTAGATGGAGTATAGACCAATATTTTTGTAGAACATTGTATTTATGTAATACTAAACGTTACGCCAGCGCACGCGGATAAAGCAATTCAGAGCGCATTTTCTTCCGACTTGCTTAACAAAAACCAATATTTAAGGCTAGCTGAGAGTTATAGGCTAATTATAGATAGCCTATACTATTTCTCATGAATCTGGACAAAAAAACTCTTCCGCTTTATTATATTAGTATAGATGTAAAAAAGATAAGGAAAGAAGGTCCTTACCAAGTCTTAGGCGGTGGTGGGGCGCATTTAGGCGCACGCACTATGATAGCAATAGCCCCCGCGAGCATGCACAGCCAGAGAGCCCAGAACATGATGAACATGAACCAACGCAGCCGCACCCAGAAGGGATCGTCTGCATACTTCATCAGCTCCTCCTTCGTCAGTCCGGAGAATTGCTGTCGATGTAATGTATCACTTAAGGCTAGTTTGGACAAAATATCGTATTTAGAGCACGATTTTGACGCTCGAGAATTGATACTTCTTGAAAATGAAATAATTAAATTCTTAAAAATATATTCTTAAAAAAATACTTTATATATTCAACATAAAAAAAATTATAATTTAATCACCAGGAAAGAATTTAAGTTATCGTTTTTTGTTTTAAGCGGTAACCTTAAAATGTTTTTCGATAGTATGAAAGCCTTGTCAAACATTATGTGTAATTCTACAGTTTTGAAATTTTTGGATAGTTCCAAAGATTTGTTTAACTTATATATACAACGAAAAAAAGCACAAAAATGGATGTGTTATACTTTTTTACAGCAATAGCTTCAATACAAGCTAGAATTCTCCCAAAAAAGGGCTAAATCTCCTAAAGTCACTAATTTTTTTTCTTAAGTCACAAATTGTCACCACTTCATCACTAAATCTTAACATAATAAAATTTAGGATATCTTTGGGGAGGATTCCAGCTTGTAGGACGCATAAAAATTCACGTCAATCAAGAAAATGCTTTAAGTTGCCCTCTCTCTCTCTTTTCAGTAAATGTCAATAAAAAGAAACAGGTGTAGAAATAATCAATACTTAATTTGAATAAGTTAACGATTATATGGTTGTACGTATTTTAAAAATCTATATATATAAATAATAGGACTACCTTTGTTTTAAGTCATTGTTTACTATTGAAGAACTTCAACTAAACAACTGTTTTTTTTTTCCTTCTTTTTCTTTCGCCGTAATTCAATGCAGTGTTAGACAAGAGCCGTCTGTGTCATAGTTTTTCAGAATCTCCCATAGGATTTGCAATAATCGCCGCATAACGCCAATTTTTTGCAGATCCTCGGCGTTGCTCCTGGTCAGTATAGATATTTTACATGTGGTTTTTTTATAGGAGAGGGGTGATCGCAAACGAGCATGCGGCTCACCTGATGGTAAGTGACTACCGCCGCCCATGAAAAACTGCAGCACCAGGGGAACCAGGGGAATTGCAGATGCGTTGCCGGCCTTTTAAAAAGGAGTAGGCTCTTTTCTTGAAGGTCCCTAAGTCGTATCGTTTCGGAAAAATCGCTGGTGGTATATACGACGTGGTTACACCGATATCTAATGAGCTGATTTCTGGCCATAAGTACGGCATCCTACTAGGGTGATGAGTTCTCTTACAACGCTCTCACACCACATTTTAAAGTGTCTATATTAGCAGTGTCCATTTTCAATGGCAAAACTCAAAAAAATATAGCACTCACCCGCTTGTTAGCGTCTAGTTCTATCTTGGCGTCACCGTTCCTATGGTCACCAACCACATACTTGGCGTCCGCCATGTCTACGCGCGTCGTTATCTTCGCTTCGTCCTCCTTCTCCAGAAGCTTCTCTTCTTCTGCCGACACCTTCTCCTTCGACTTGGACAAGTTCGACTTGGATGTTCGAAAGCCTGAAATAAAGCAATTGCAACTTTATTGTAAATAGATTGTAAATAGCTCTAATGGCCCTCTTCTGTAAAACAAAAATAGTTTCTGAATCAGCCGCATTTCCCCATAGCAAAATCCCATAAGACATTATGCTATGGAAATAACTAAAATAAACTAATATAGCTGTCTCGACACTAGTGAGACCTCTAATCTTTTTTACAGCATAGGCTGCAGAACTTAGTCTGCTTGCTAATTTGGATATATGGGGGCCCCACTGGAGCTTTGCGTCAAGAGTGATGCCAAGAAAAACAGTGGATACAACAGGGCTCAATTCCTCCCCATTTAAAAACACATTGGTATTCAGATTTTTAACATTCGTTGTTGTAAATTTAACACAATTAGTTTTATTTCCGTTCAAACGCAGATTATTAACGTTAAACCAATGCACTAATTTTGATATAGCGTTCTTGACACCATAGTACTGTAGCTTCCTGATTAATGTCTCATGGTGAACACAGTCGAAGGCCTTGAAAAGGTCACAAAATATACCCAAAGCATCCTCTGAATTCTCCCATGCACAAAAAATATGTTTAATAAACTCAACTCCAGCGTCAGTTGTCGAGCGACCCCTTGTAAAACCGAATTGATTTTTATGTAGCAATTTATTAATATTAAAGAAACTTAACATCTGATCTAAAATAATTGTTTCAAAAACTTTACTTAATGTTGGTAGTACAGAAATTGGTCTAAAATTGGCGGGGTCTAATGTACTACCAGATTTAAATATAGGTATGACTTTACTATGTTTCATTAAATCAGGAAACACACCAGATTCGACGCTTATATTAAATATAATGGCTAGATAAGGTGCTAATATATCTATTATAGATAAAATAACTTTAACGGAAATCCCCCATATGTCTGCCGTTTTCTTAACATCAATAGTTTTAAAATATTTAACGATATCTTTTGGCAGTACTCTATGGAATTTAAAAGTATTTGAACAAGCGTTTACATTTTGTTTGAGCAATGATTCGGCGACAGTAGGAGAAGAATTTAATTATTTTGTTGTCAAAAAAGGAACATCAGTAAAATGTTTCTCAAAAGCCATAGCAACTTCTTGATCAGAAGACTATTGAAACATTACTTGACTTATTATCCTCCTCTTTGCAGATGGTTCTGTGAACATTTAGATATATAGCAAAATATTATCTTTATGGTCTATATTCTTCGCCATATGAATTATAATTTCCATAAGCTTCATAAATTCGACCTTTATTTTATTTCTTGAGAAGAAACTATTAAATTAAATAATGGCGAAGCAGACGTTTCTCTAATTACACAGATGTTTCTCTAATTACACCACAGGAGGTACTTAGTGTTCGTTTGTGTCTTTTGGTGTAACGACTTGTCCCACATAATTAGGAATGTTAATATAGGCTTGTCAACCCGCCAAACGTTGTTTTGCCATATACATTATTTCTAGGAAATAATATTAAATTTTAAAAATCGCTATTAAAAAGCGTAGTTTGATCGTAGAAGGGTGAAAATTTGAAGTTTTATTTATTTTTCAATGCTTAATCATAATAAAATAAAAGATTTGGTCAAATAAATAAAAAAATATGTAGGGGTGGGTCACCCTTATCATTTTGGGGTTTAAAAAATAGACATTGCCCGTTTCTCAGACATAGGTTAACGTTATATTGAGGTTATCCGATATGCACACAAAATTTCATACCGTTCGATTCAGCCGTTTCGGAGGAGTTTGGTAACAAACACCGCGACACGAGAATTTTATATTTTTATATTATTAGATATATGTGTTTGTCATTGAATTCCTCCTAAAAGCCTGGACCAATATAGAACATTTTTTAAATTGTTTCATAATTTGACCCGGTAGGTGGCGCTGTGGTTAAGATCACAAAATCCCATGCGAAGCTGGTTCGGATTGCTATACATATATATATAAAGGTAGAACTGTTTAATTGTCCTATAAAATCTTATCAGACTACAAACGATTCACCTATAAGAAAAGACGAAATAAAAACGATTAGCATTGTTATAATATTAAGTCGCAGCCCTATCGTGTAATTATATTATTGCTCATTACGCCCCACGTACGCTTCAAATTTTTTATAAATACCCTATTTTTCATGAGCACAAGACAGAATGCCTTACGTGCTTTCAGAGGCAATAAACACCGTCAACTTTATGATTCTGGGCCGCTCCTAAGAATTTTTTGAAAGGAAACCCCCAATATCTGATTTGAGAGCACATGATCAGCAGCAGTGCTTCCGAGGAAGGTACCGAGGAGGCAGTTAGATTCTGGCATTTTACTAAACGGTTAGCCATTGACTTAAACCATCGGACTGCGACATACGTAGATACATATATATTAAAGCGAACATTTTTTTTATATAAAATAAGTGTGACCAATGAACAAACAGTCCACATGATGGTAAGTGGATGTTGTGATCCATAGACATTGTCTATCCTCGATTAAGAATCAAAATGTAGATGCGTTGTCACCCCCGAGGACTATTAAGATGAAATGCGTCGTTTCCAGAATAAGAGTATCCGGTTCTCTACACTCACCATACGAAACACACCAGCAATAAGCTGCTATTTTACGCTGGTATTCCGTGAGAGCGTGGTCCTTTCCCGGTCGGGCCGACCCATTCGTGCTACAACCATAACATATCTGCTGCATCGCTCTACTACGTCAAAAATCATTTTTAATACACAAAAATAAAACGTAAATCTGACATAGAGCCCAGAATAAGCAGTCTGTTGGGCAATTCAGTCCTCAGAAGAGACAACGCTACAGGTTTTTAATTTGAATTTGAAGCAACTGATGTCCAGGTGGGCTGGTTATTCATCATATTTAAAATATAGTATTATGACTACTGAGGGCAAATAAATAAATATAAATATATAAGTAAATAAACGTTATATTGAGGTTATAAAGGGTTATTTTCCAATAACCGACCAAAATTGCAGAGGTTTCAGAATAAGTGGCTACTCTCTGGCAAATGATGAAGAAAAATTAATTTAATAAAAAAAAATCTCAAACATTAATAATAATAATAACCTTTATTATTTTCTCCCACAAATAGTACATTGCATAATTATCTTTTACAAACATATTATTTCTTAAAAACTAAACAAAGAGTACATAAATTTGTGGGAGACGGGAGTCCAAGCTAGGATACCCTGTGCTATGGATCTCCCGGCTAATTATATATTGCAGTGACATTTTCGTTTGCGAGAGGGCATATACGCGTAAGCGAGTGAATTGAGTGTATGTGTGTGTTTCTTTTTACATTGTAATTTTGTAGGATTAATGATGCGGTTAATTTGTCTGCTTTGTTATATAATACCGACTACCGACGACCAGAATTCCTTATATTATCCATCAAATCAATACAACTATGTTTTTTTTTAAGATTTAATATGTAAATTTTTCGAACCGTTATCACATTGGCTTCTGCGTACAAGTTCGTAGTCGGATACATCCTAGGTTTTTTCGATGCTATTTTTAATATCATTCTTTGTACCTTTTCCACTTCCATCATTAATGTTTTACTAGAGCCATACTGAAATGCTATAGGACAGGATAGATTTACCTAACGATTCATAAACAGTTTTAATTAAATTCCAATTTTCGATATGTCTTAAGTTTTTAAATATGTAGATAAACTTTGTAATTTTTTGAACTAAATAGTTTATGTTCTTTGCAGGTTACATTCTTGTCTATTATTATGCCAAGGTACTTTATATTATTTGTATTTTCGGTACAAGGACATTTACAGTTTGAAATACGGGTCATATCACAAGAATGTGCTATGATTTTAAATTTATTTGTAAAACAGGAGGAGTTTCGGATGGTAAACATTACTTATTTGGTTTTATCGGAATTTAAAGTGAGACTATTTAGAGCAAGCCAGTGGCAGATTATATTGAAACCATCCTGTGCAATTTTGAAAACATCTTCCCAAGAGTCACTGTAAAACGAGAGGGTTGTGTCGTCACCATATGAGATTATTTTACAATTTGGGATGTTTAATTGACAAAGATCGTTTATGAGCAAAGGAAGAGTGTTGGACCGAGAGTACTCCCTTGTGGTACTCCGTAGTTGATTGGGTTTTCATCACTAACAATACCTCTTATCCTAACTCGTTGTGAGCGATTTTGTAGGTAATCTTTAAAAAGTTGTAATTGTTCATTTCTAATACCCATTTTTTTCAAGTTTCTCGGTCAGTTTAGAAGATGGAATGGTGTCAAAAGCTTTTTGCAGATCAATAAAGATTGTGATACATTTTATATTGGAGTCTAATTTTTGCGCAATAAATTCTGTAAAAACATTATAGCGTCAGTAGTTGATTTACTCTTTCGAAAACCGAATTGACCATTTGAGAGAATTATCTTCCAAATATTTTATAAGTCCAGTATTTATTATTCTTTCAAGAAGCTTATATATAGACGGGAGTAACAATATTGGACGGTATTTAGTGATGACGTCACGCCTTCCGTTTTTAAAAATTTGAATTGTGATTGATCTTTTTAATACTGTTGGAAAAATAGCTTCTTCTAGACATCTATTAAAGCTATGATTAAGTGGGGGGATTATAAATTATTTAAGACATTTTAAAATTTTTGGCGTAATATCATCCCAATTAGCATCACAATCAGTCTTAAGATTAAGAATGAGAAGTTCGAGTTCTTCACTAGTTTTAAGTAGGACAAAAGAGTTACTTTTGACTGTTACAGGATTTTTAGTGGTAGGAAGAGGCGGAAGATCTGTTTTAAGTTTATTTGACAACTCAGAACCTACATTTGTAAAAAAAAGTGTTTATAAAGTTTGCGGAACTTAGCGCGTTATTTTCAATCTTGCGAAGTTTAGATGGTAGCTCTTTTGGTTTATTAAAGTTATTTATATTTTTAACAACGTTCCAATTTTTTTTTGTTATCATTTCAATTAATTTCTTTCATATTGATTCTTTTGTTTTATAAAATATCATTA